TTTTTTTTATTTCATTTTGTCTGCCTGAACTTTGGTGCTTATTTTCTTTAACAGCTCAAACCAGAGTATGGAGACTGCAACACCTGTCTTCCTTGTTGACGGTTATAACGTTTGTGGCTATTGGGCAAAGCTGAAGAAGCATTTCATGAATGGAAGACTTGATATTGCTCGCCAGAAGCTTGTAAATGAACTGATAACATTCAGTATGTTAAGAGGTTTGTGCTTTAGAATGGTTCAGTAGTATAATGAGTAGCAATGTATTGATCTCACTGTAAAGATGCTAAAATAGAGATAGCATCTCATTCTTGTTCAATGATGCAGCTTACTGGGTCATGCATTTTGCTCTACTGGATTCTTTTTCATCAATGACACTCTTTTATTTCTTTTTGTACTTGACTGCTGGTTTTGTTCTCCAAATGTAGGCCCTTCCACTCTAGAAGAAGTCAACAAGTTTAATTTAGTTAGTCAACTAGTATTTCGAGGGAAATTTAACCTTTTTTTTTTCAGAAAAGTACCCATTTTCCAAGACCAGGAGTGTTCAAAGCATTTAAACTTTTTAAATTCATGGCAGACAAACAGTATTGTATTATTGTAGTCTGGATGTGCAGAAACTATGTTAAATATAGCTAAATTGAGAGCAAATTCTGCATGTACTAGCTAAATTGTAGCTCTCTTGAATATGGCAGACCTGGATCAATAATGTTTTGATTAGTGACCCAAATACTCCAGTCCCCAGCACTTATGGTGGTTAGTTGAATACGGAGGTTGTTTGTAGTTTAATATATCTTATATTTAACATTGTTTCACAATCATCTATCTCATGCTCTATTCCATTTTCAGAGGTGAAAGTGGTGGTTGTATTTGATGCTATGAAGTCTGGCCTACCAACACATAAAGAAAATTTTTCTGGGTACTCGTTGTGGACCTAATTTATTGTATCCCTAGCTTACAAATTGTTTATTCTGCCGCTATCAATGGTGCTCTGCAACTTTTTTTTTTTTTTAAAAAAAAAACATGCATCAGTCCTACTTTCATGTTTCATGATTTTTGACCTTCAATGTTACTTGATGGCTTCCTTTCAACCGAGTCACTGAGACTTGTTGTCGACGTGATGCAAAATTATGGTACTTTTTTCAATGAATTATCAGTCTTTTCATTCTTTTCCATATTCTCATGAAACTTCTATCGAATAGGGTTTACGATTGCATTTGTATTTATATTTCCTCTGTTTCAGAAGACTGTTTCCAGAAATTTGAACACATATTAACATGTCAAATTATCTCCAAATTTTGGCTTTAGGTTATTCCAATATTATCATTGAATTTTAAGATGGACATGCAAGAATTGCCTTATTTGATTCACTAGTAAATGGGTTTCTGCTTCTAACATGTCTATGTTCTTTTATTGTATATATTTTAATGTGAACATTATGATTTTGTAGAATTGATATAGTTTATTCAGGCGAAACTTGTGCTGATGGATGGATTGAGAAAGAGGTGAGAGAAGCTATTGAATCATACTCAACTTGTGAATTCTGATTTTTATTTTGGAGAATACAAATTGAAGTCATCGATACAGTAGTTACTTTGTGATGCTATAAGCTTCATATCCTCATTACTTTTCTTTTAGGTATTAGTTTAAGTGTTAACTTTTACTGATGGATGTTCACTAGTTGTGACACGTTTGTGGTTTCTTTATCATCCGTATTTTTCTTAACATGGGTCGCTTGATACTTGAGAAATTTTTATTTTCAATTGTCAATATATAGTTAGGAGTTTGATTATACAGGGGGATACTGCATATATTCGGTTTTCAAATATCATTTACGTGTTTTTTTTTGTTCGTAATTTGTTTTTGTCTCTATAATTAGGTTGTAGCCTTGAAGGAGGATGGATGTCCAGAAGTTTGGGTCGTAACATCCGATCATTCTCAACAAGATGCAGTCTATGGATCAGTATGTGTATCGTTGTGGTTTTCAATTATATTTTGATTTTTTCCTTAGCTTTAACTCAAAGCATCCCACATTAAAGCCCCACAGGAAGACAAGTGGCCTCTTTCTAAAGTGGTGTTTGCCTGTAACCTGTAACTACTGCATTCTCATTCACAATTGACCTTCTGTGAACATAACGAAAAACTTGATTCATGGATTATTCGTCTTGACTAAGATGATCTTCGCTAATAAATTAATAGCTTTTTGTGTTCTGATGGTTCTTTTTTCAGGGAGCTTTTGTGTGGAGTTCAAAGGCATTGATCTCTGAGGTAAATGCTATGAACAAAGCTATACTAGGAAATTAGGCTTCCCGAACATTTATAGTTGTAATCACTGGGAAGTGTATATTTCCCTGTGGAAATCTGATTTACAAGTAAATTTGTCCCAGGAATTGTAAAATCTGTTGTCTCCCTTTTTCTGGTACTATGACTATAATGCAGATCAAAGATTCACAAAAGGAGGTAGAGCAGATGCTGCGGGAACAAAGGTATGCAAAACTTGTGTAAAATCTTTATCAACTTCTTTTATCTTTCGCTTTTGTTTCTCCTTCTAAGCGGTAAATTCATTTAAACCTTGTTCCAAATTTTTCTTTTCCAATAAGCAGCATTTACGCATTTACTTGAGGTGCATGGTTTTCCTTTAGTATTAGATTCGAGCCTTTCTAGATACGCGAAAACATCGCGTGAATGTGCTCGATTCCAAGAATCTGCTTATTTTTGCACTGTAGTTACTAATTAGCAATTTTCTTAAAGACATTGGGACGGTTGACTAGATGAAGATGAGGGGGTGCCTTAAAATATTAATATGATTTATTTATCATCATACACTTATTCTCAAGACACATTATATAAAATATTTACCATCATACATAATTCTCAAGACACATTATATAAAATATGGTCAAATACAAAGATTGTCCAAAAGGTAATATATTCGCCAATAGTGAATTAACTTTAACATGATTATACTTTTTTTTTTCTGAAAAAAACAATATATAATTAATATATATTTCATGTATAAAAACCAAAATCTTATATATTGTATTTCTCAATCCTATAAAAAAGTAGCAGAATGTTTTGAAATTTGAAAACAGATGTTTCTTGGTTCTGAATGAATTTATGCAGATTTTGAACGCTTGTTGATTACCAGATATGAAAAACTCATTTCCCATTTTCCTGAATCTATGAATAATGAAATCATTTGCTTTGGGAAAACAAATCCAATCAGTTCTTGACATGAGTAGCTGAAATTAAGTTTGAAAAAAAAAAAAAAAAAAAACGTAAGCCTGTCTGAGAGCTAGCGTTGGAGGGGGCCACAGACCTGAGATTTTCCAGTCCATTCAAGAATGTGGCAGATCCACTCTTACGCATTTTAGGCCAGCTCGTTTGACAGTGCTACTAATAATTGGAAGTAGAATAACTTAATTCGATTAGTTTCCGTGCCGAAAATCTTATCTAACGAAGATACATCAACACTGAATATACTTGAAACTTCCATGCACAATGTTACAAGTTGGGGTAGCTTGTGAATTGGTGGTCGATAATGCATGATTATTCATTGTAAGATCACAGTTGTCCCTGAGCCTTTGCCTGATGTAATGTATTGTGTTTCAATTTTTTCTACTTGACGCCGTTAGGCTGCTTAATCATAGAATTTGCGTTATTAGTGCTTTTAGTGACATGTGTAGCATTTCTGTGCAGATCAACTTCAATGGGGGCTGAACCGTTGAAGCACAATCTCCATCCAAAAGTAGTTGATGCTCTTAGGGATCTCAGAGATAAGCTATCTCGAAAATCCTGATTTCAAATTCTCTCAAAAGTTTAACCTCGACTTTAGACCATCTACCAGCAAATGGGTGCCGATGTTAACTTATTGATGGTTTTCCATATCATATGCAATCCCACGACGAGCCCGCCCCAAGCCGGAAATGAATTATTATGAGGTTCTGCTTTTAATTGCTTGGAAGTTTCACCATTGTTGTAGTTGAAACTTGGGAGTTTCACTGACCCCATCTCCCTATATATGAATACAAATGCGAAGTTTCTCGAACCTATGCGTCAACTTCTGATGCTTCATAATTTTATATGTCGAATTATGGTACTTCATAATTGTGTGTGTCAATTTCTGGTGGTTCAATGTAGTCGATGCAGATGTGGATTTCTATCCATACCTATAAGGATTTTTAAACTTGTAACATTTTACTAGCTTAAATTATAAATATGTTTTAACGTTTAAAAGTTAATATATATATTTTTTTTTTTTTGGCTATCAATTTTTCATATATGATGTATCAAATTAATTATTTCCTGATATGACATTCATATTGCATATACAAAACAAATAGTTATATTTATTTTTATCATAAAATTAAGTTATCTATTAACATTTTAATTGAAAAATAATAAAACTATTTTGCCAAGTAAATAATTTATCTTTAAAATTATTATAAGATATGAGTTAAAAAGAATTTTTATAAGATATGAGTTAGAAAAAAATTTATAATATAAGACGAGATGTAAACAGGTCGGGTAGGGGGTGGGTTTTGTCAAACTCGAATTTGACCCGCACATAATTTACCTTACCCGAACTCGACATGTTACCCGATTAGTGATCTTCGGCTTCAGGTCGGGTTTTATCTAACGGGTTATTGGGTCTACGTCGGGAAAACATGAAGCCTAAATTCTTAAAATTGGGTTACCCGGTCGCAACCCAATCTGACCAGCTTCATGTGGAAAAAAAAAAAATAAAATAGTTCCACAATTAACTGTATGTAATTAAAAATTATTGACTGTGTTTGACATTTGAATAACTATAACAAAATATCTTACTAATTTTGAAATAAATAATGATATAATTATTTATCTGTATAGTCTAATTAATAATCTAACATTCAAAAGGGGATAATGAGCTATAATAAATTTAATAATATATCTAAAATGATGGGAATTTGAAATACGAGATTTTGCATAAGAATGTAGTAATATAAGGATACTAGTATAAAAGAAGTAGCTTTTTAAATTTTACTAATATATTATATATGTAGTAGTGTTTTCTTAATTCTTAATTTGACAAAAGAATTATATTAAGCCTCATCAATTTTAGTTTTTTTTAACTCTTTCAGAATTATAATTATGAATAGTTTGTATTCATATATTATACTAACTTTATACGGTTATTCTTAGACATTGCATTTTGCATGAATGATAAACTATTAGTATTAGTTGGCAATACTTACAACAAATTTCTTATGTAAAATACAAGTTATAAAACCAAAAATCTTGATTGATTATTATTTGTCGTACTTATGTAGTTACAAAAAGTAAGTATTTAAATTTTTATTGTACAACGAAAACAAAAATTGATAAAAAAAAAAAATTCAGAAAAAAATAAATAAAATTTAGCCATTGGCTAAAATTATAATAAATAATTTAATTTTTAATATTAATAACACATGTCATGGCTACTTTATATTTATAATAAGCTATATATATCTATATATATATATATGTGTGTGTGTGTGTGTGTGTGCGTGCGTGCGTGCGTGTGCACGTGTGTGTATAAAGATCCAATGCTTGTGGGTACATGAGTAGGGTAATCATATCGAGTAGTGGATTTTTCTACTATAACCGTGACCCGGGTTCAGGTAGCATAATGCTACTCAAACTTGACCCTGAATTTTTGAATTTATT